ATCTTAACTCCAATGTCACCCCTTCACAGAGGCTTGCCCTGACCACCACAGTTAAAAAAGTCACTTCCCATCCCATTTAATGTTTCTTTTTGGCGTTTGTCATATTTGAAATTCTCTTATGGTTCCCATTTTTATTATTTGCCACTTGCTTTAGAATGGAAACTCCATGAGAGCAGGAACCGCCTTGCCTAGTTCATTGTTATTCTCAACATAGATAGGTAAAACCAAACTTACTGCCATTGAGTTAATTCAACTCACAGTGACCCCTCCTTGGGTTTCTGACATGATTTCTCTACGGAAGTAGATTGCCCACTTTTCCTTCCGAGGAGTGGCTGGTGGGTTTGAACCATCAGACTTCTAGTTAGCAGTCAAATGCCTTAGGCACTATGCCACCAGAGAGTAGTAGGTACTCAATAAATACTCATTTGATGTTGGACTAAATGACTAGCAGTGGTAACAGGTTGAATCAAACATGGCTCCTTGTCTCTAAAGAGGTTTAAGGGTCCTAGATGTGTCCACTCCACCACTCATCTGACAATTTGCTGTACTGTGGTAGCTTGCATGTTGCTGTGAGGCTGGGGGCTATGCCACTGGTGTTTTGGATACAACCAGGGCCACCCATGGTGGATAGGTTTCAGTGGAACTTCCAGACTAAGACAGACTCAGAACAAGAAAGGGGCCATCTACTTCTCAAAGAATTTGCCAGTGAAAATCTTATGAGTAGCAGTGAAACACTGTCTGATATATTACTGGAAAACTTTATGAATAGGCCTGAAACATTGTCTGATATAGTGCCAGAAGATAACCCCCTCAAGCGGGGAAGCACTCAAAAGATGATTAGGGAAGAGCTGCCTCCTCAAAGTAGAGTCAATCCTAATGACACAAATGAAGTAAAGCTTTCAGGACCCCCGTTTACTTGTGTGGCATGACTCAAAATGGAAAGAAACAGCTGGAAACATCCATTAATAATTGGAACATGGGCTATATGAAGTATGAATCCAGGAAAATTGGAAGTTTCAAAAATGAAATGGAATGCATAAAGATTGTGTCCTAGGCATTAGTGAGCTGAAATGGACTGGTATTGGCCATTTTGAATTAGACAACCATATAATCTACTATGCTGGGAATGACAAATTGAAGAGGAATGGCATGACATTCATTCTCACAAAGAATGTTTCAAGATCTATCCTGAAATACATTGCTGGCAGTGATAGGATAATATCCATATGCCTACAAGGAAGACCGGGAGCTCTGGTAGCATAGTGCCTAAGGCACTTGACCGCTAATCAGAAGGCTGGCAGTTCAAACCCACTGACCACTCCTAGGAAGGAAGATGGGGCAATCTACTTCTGTAGTGATACTGCCTTGGCAACCCAAGGAGGGGTCGTTATGAGTTGGGTGCGACCAGTTAATACTGTTGTTGTTGTTGTTGTTGTTATGTGCCGTCGAGTCGGACCTGACTCGTAGCAACCCCTCCTTGGGTTTCCGAGGCAGTATCACCACGGAAGTAGATTGCCCCATCTTCCTTCCGAGGGTTAAAAAAATACTACTATTATTCAAATATATGTTGATATATTTGAATAATATTAGTAATAGCCAAAGATGAGGAAATTGAAGATTTTTTAGCAACTTCTGCAATCTGAAATTGACCAAACATGCAATCAAGCTGTATTGATTATTACT